CACCCTGGCGCGTCTCTGATCTTGTTTCCCCCTTTCAAAAATCTGTTACGTGGCAGCTTTTCATGAGTCAAAAAAGTTGATTGGGGCGTCTCCTGACCCGTCTGTGTAGTGATGGCGGCTTTGTTCTGCTGTCAACTGAAGACCCAGGCTCAAAACTCCAGGGCGGTGGGGAAGCACTGGGGGGGGTGGCCTTTCAGCCGCTTCCCAAGTTTTCCCAAGTAGCCACTCTCTAAGCTGCATGAGACCACTTGTGTTATTCCTAGCATTGAAAAGGGGGTGGGTGGGGTGTTTCCCCATGAAATATTTCATTTCTTTTGACTTTTGAGGGGTTCAGATGATGCCTGTGGTGAAGCTGGCCAGCAGTGGCATTTCTTCAACGTTTATTTTGGGGAGAAGCAAACATAGTCTAAAGTCTTGCCGCCCCACTCAGTCACGATAAAACTGGAGTTCTTATCCTGAGGTTTTTGCCTCTCGTATTGGTTCTTCTGCTCGTACAAGCAGGCTGTCCTAGATGTGGGGATGTTATTATGTTCGGTCCCATTGACGCAGAGAACCAGCTGATCGTGAACTGCTTATTTACCGCTCAGCTGTACGAACAGATAAACAACTCAGGGCTGTTCCTGTTTGGAGATACTGAACGCCATACCTCGTTACAGCCACTTCCTCACTAAAGCCGCCAGGCAGTGGCCCCACCCGAAATGGCTTGCCCCCTTTCCTTCTCCCTTTGCTTGCTCTCCTTCCCTCTAAGGAGGCCCCGCTTAATCCCTTACTTGCCACAGCGGACCTGCTCTTGCCCCACAGCAGCCCCCGTTCCCTCCCTGGTAAGGCTGCTGTTCAGAGAAACCTCGCAGGGAAGAAAAGATCGGCAGGGCTCGGAGGCCTCTCCTGGTTGGTGGGCCAAGCAGAGGACCTTCAAGCACGGCCCACATCATTCTGACAGCCATTCTTGGCCCCCCCCCCCCGCCCCCCACGAGCACCGCCCCCCCCGACCCTTGCGCCCATCCCAGCCCCCGCACCCCTGGCGTCCCCGCCGCAGGCCCCCCCCCTGGGGGGGGC